GCCTCCCAGAGTGCTAGGATTACAGGCGTGAGCCACGGCACCCAGCCTGTAGGTTGTCTTTTCACTCTTATTGTTTCTTTTGCTGTGCGGAAGCTTTTTAGGTTGATATAATCTCCCATTTGTTTGTTTTTGCTTTCCTTGTCTGTACTATTGAAGTCTTATTCATAAAATCTCTTCCTAGACTCATGTCCTGAAGCCTCTCCACTATGTTTTCTTCCAGTAGTATTTTTGTTTTGGGTCTTTCATTTAGGTCTTTGATCCATTTTGAGTTGATTTTTGTATAGGATGAGAAGTGGAGGTCTAGTTTCATTCTGCATGTGGATATCCAGTTTGGCCAGAACCATTTGTTGAAGAGACTGTCCTTTCCCCAATGAGTGTTTTTAGCACCTTTGTCAAAAATCAGTTGGCTGTAGATACATGGATTAATTTCTGGGTCCTCTATTCTGTTCCATTGGTGTATATGTCTGTTTTTATGCCAGCACCATGCTGTTTTGGTTACTACAGCTTTGTAGAATATTTTGAAGTCTGGTTGTGTGATGCCAGTGTGATGCCTCCAGCTTTGTTCTTTTTGTGAAGGGTTGTTTTGAGTATTCAGGGTCTTTTGTAGTTCCATACAAATTTGGGGATTTTTTTTTCTCTTTCCGTGAAGAATGTCATTGGTATTTTCATAGGAATTGCATTCCATCTGTAGATGGCTTTGGGTAGTATGTAAAGAATTCATAGTCTTGAAGTTACTTGCCATTAAGAGCTCTAAGATCATGGACTCACTAATTATTATAGATATCATTAATTTTTAGTTGGGCTAAAAATACATATCACTGTTTCAAAGTATATGTAATTGCAGAGGCTTTGAAAAAGACAGTTTTCATGAACTAGAGCCCAATCCAGAACGAAGACCTAAGTTAAACCAACCTCCTTCCAGTGTTAAATATAGTGTCTCCTCTTACAGTGTACACAGATCTGCTTGTTCTGATGTTTGTTGCAGTTTGAATGTAAAGGCACAATGAGGCCAGGGGTAATTCAGTTAACTGGTGTCACTGTATTCTAGAGTATTTGTCGTGTGCTCAGAAATTCAATTGCTAATACGCCAAGCAGTGGTCAGCTTTGAGGAACTTACTCATGCTAAACAAACTTCCAGAAGACAGAATTCCCACATTCTGATGTATAGTTACATTCTGTCCGCATAGGTACATCATCCACCTGGGACACCAAATCATAATCGGAATGTTGCTTACTGAGTGGAAAATGAGAGCAAGATGACTTGGCTGCATGGTCTTCATGACCAGTGGCATCAAGCAGAGATGCATATGGTATCTCAAGCTCTCCAGAACTTATCCTGTGATCCTGTGGAAGGTACTAGACGTACTGTCAGTGTTTGCTCTTCAGCCTCCCTTTCCTAAGCTTCATTTTTTTTTTTTTTAAGACACAGGATCTTGCTCTGTCGCCCAGTCTGGAGTGCGGTAGTGTGATCATAGCTCATGGCAGCCTCCAAGTCCTGGGCTCAAGTGATCCTCCTGCCTCAGCCTCCTAAGTAGCTGAGACTACAGGCACATGCCACCATGTCCGGCTAATTTTTTAATTTTTTTGTAGAGAGAGGGTCTTGCTACATTGCCCAGGCTGGTCTTGAACTCCCGGCCTCAAGTGATCCTTCTGCCTTGGCCTCCCACAACACGGGGATTATAGGCATGAGCCACTGCACCTGGCCTCTTCTGATCATTTCTGATCAACATTCCTATGGTCAATTCAGTCTTTTTTTGCCTAAGTTGTCTCCTTCAAGGTTAGCATCAATACTTAGTCTGGTGGCCATTCTGTGTCCTTCAAAGTACCTCTCAGTATTCTGCTCTGGTTCCTTATTTTGTTTGTTCTTCCCATCTAGCTGTCACAGGGGAAGTCCTACTTCCAAGTTCTGTGGGGGCCCCATATACAATACAAAGATTTTCATATACACATATGTATAAAATGGTCCAAAGACTTTATCCTAACTGTACGTGATTTAAATATTCAGCCTAAGTAATGGGGTAATTCTTATCTGTTTGCTAAAGAGTATTGTAGTCATCAACCCTCGTGCTATTGCTGGTCTAAATTTTTTTTTAACTTTTTATTTCAGATTAAGAATGACCCAAAAGAAAACAAAGCTTTGTTTCAGAGCCAACGTGTATACTGAAGTGCCTGATGGAGGATGGGGCTGGGCAGTAGCGGTTTCCTTTTTCTTCATTGAAGTCTTTACCTATGGCATCATCAAGTCGTTTGGCGTCTTCTTTAATGACTTAATGGACAGTTTTGATGAATCCAATAGCAGGATCTCATGGATAATATCAATATGTGTGTTTGTCTTAACATTTACAGGTTAGTACATCTTTCAGCCTGACCATGACACAAGCTTGGGCCCCTTGTAATCTGCCTGACTACATAATGGTATTTGGTGTGATTGTGATGCATTCCCTTATGTCAGCCTGTTTTGTTTTTTTTGGTTTTTTGGGTTTTTTGTTGTTGTTTTGAGACAAGATCTCACTCTGTCGCCCAGGCTGGAGTGCAGTGGCATCATCATAGTTCACTGCAGCCTCGAACTCCTGGGCTCAGGCGATTCTCCCTCCTGAGCCTCCCTTGTAGCTGGAACTATAGGTGTGCACCACCATGCCTGGCTAATTTTTCAGTTTAACACCCAGGTGTTAAACATCTACCATGCACACACTCTCAGGATTCTGTAGATCACTTTGAGGAGAGCAGTGAACCCCAGTTACGTGAGGGTGTAGTCATCATCTAAAGAAGCAACATCAAAAAGTTGCTGGCATACCAGGCCCTGATCTCATAGGTCAGAAACATGCAAATGTGGATACGCGAAGAAGAAAAACGGGATGTATAAAAGGAAATATGTGAAATTACAAACATTGTCCTGAGGAGACACTGAATTCCAGACACCTGCTTCCCTAAAGGACATCACTGATTCATCTTTATAGAATACTCCCAGATCCAACAGCATAAAATAAAGTCAGGTTTTAGTATTATTTTTAACATACTAATTTTTACTTGGTCACTTACAGGCCTAATTTGAACCCACATTCTAGGTCTCAGGAGTTCATCCGTCAGAGGCAATGCTGAGGGTTTTCCAAGAGAACAGAGCTGGCCGGGCGCGGTGGCTCACACCTGTAATCCTAGCACTCTGGGAGGCCGAGGCGGGCGGATCGTTTAAGCTCAGGAGTTCGAGACCAGCCTGAGCAAGAGTGAGACCCCCGTCTCTACTAAAAATAGAAAGAAATTCGTCAGACAACTAAAAATATATAGAAAAAATTAGCCGGGCATGGTGGCGCATGCCTGTAGTCCCAGCTACTCGGGAGGCTGAGGCAGAAGGATTGCTTGAGCCCAGGAGTTTGAGGTTGCTGTGAGCTAGGCTGATGCCACAGCACTCTAGCCCGGGCAACAGAGCCAGACTCTGTCTCAAAAAAAAAAAAAGAGAACAGAGGTGTTGAACTTGCCTCAGAAAGTTAACCAGTCTGACCTTAAACTTCCCTAACTTTACCCTACTATCCTGTCATGGAACTGTTATCTCTGAAGTTAAAGCCTTTCTTTAAATAGTTTATTTTCAGCCATACAATGCTTTCAAATAGGCAACTACATGTGTTTTTACCCATTGGGCAAAGTAGGAATTTCTCTTACACGTCCTACTGTTTCTTACCAGTGTCATGAAGTAGCTCCTAGTTCCAGTTTGAGTATTAAGATAATTTAATCTTCAAATTGTAGAATGCTTAATTACTTTCTTAGAAAGATAAGTGAATAAGAACTAAAATTTTACTTTTGGTAATCTACATAAAAAGAAAATCCCAAAGCTTAAGTTTTAGCTAATAACCAAAAGTAAAAATGTAGTCAACAGGAAATTTCTACTTAATATACTATTATACCAGAAGATAATTCTTCCAAATACTATTATTCTAATTGTTAATGTTTCGAGCCAACATATTGGCTCAAAACGATAGTGGTTTCATTATAAGCTACATTCAATATTCGTTCAAATTCTAATAGCTACCATAACAGACATGTATGGACTAACCCCGACAAAATTTAATCCTTTTTTCCCCTGCCCCTTCCATCCAGTGTGTTGTCCTTCCTTGACCCAACTCTCAATGGCTAGCTTATCTCAGTGTTCTCAAGTCGATATTAAGTAATATATAACTAGGAAACTAATTTGCCAGATTTATATGTCCTAGGGGATACGGCTTATAGAAGCTAAGCAAATTATGATTCATCAGACACTTTAAATAGATTGCAATACTATTGATCCCATAGCCGTCTCCTTTAAGAATACATAACTGAGAATCTACCATACTTTCATCCTATAAAGAAACTAACTAGAATCTGATTACAAATGGAGCTTTTTTTAAAAAGAGTCCAAAGTAGTGAGTACAGGGGAGAAAAAAAAATTAGCCAGGCACAGTGGCTCATGCCTGTAATCCTAGCACTTCCGGAGGCTAAAGTGGGAGGATTACTTGAGGCCAGGAGTTTGAGTTTGAGACCAGCCTGAGCAACATAGCAAGTCCCCATCTCTACAAAAGAATATAAATAAATTAGCCGGGCATGGTGGCACACACCTGTAGTCCCAGCTACCCGGGAGGCTGAGCCAAGAGGATGGCTTGAGCCTGGGAGTTGGAGATTGCAGTCAGCTAGGATGGCGCCACTGCACTCCAGCCTGGGGTGACACAGCGAGACCCTGTCTCAAAAAAAAAAGATTCAAACAATCATAGGGAAACTAATTTTTATTACAGAATAGCATAAAGTAAATGCATATCTAGTTTTGTAGACACTCATGGTGAGTCAAAATCATCTAAAAATGTAGATATATGCTTTATAATATTATTCTGGCATTCTTTTTTTTTTTCCTTCTCCTTTTTTTTAATTTTAATAGATTTAGGGGGTATAAGTTGAATTCTGTTACATGTATATATTGTACAGTGGTGAAATCTGGGCTTTCGGTGTGCCCATCACCTGAATGGTGCATGATGTGCCCCGTAGGTAATTTTCCATCCTTCACTCCTTCCCCTCTCCCCGCTTTTGAGTCTGCCGTGTCCACTATACCACTCTGTGTGTCCTTGAGTCGCCACAGTTTAGCTCCCGCTTATAAGTGAGAACGTGCAGCATTTATTTTGCTGTTCCTGAGTTCTTCACTCAGGGTAATGCCTCCAGTTCCATCCAAGTTGCTGCAAAAGACATTATTTCATTCTTTCTTATCACCGAGTAGTACTCTATGTTGTACATTTTCTTTATCCACTCACCGGTTGATGGGCACTTAGGTTGGTTCCACATCTTTGCGATTGTGGCTTTCTCTTGAAGGAGCCTGAAGAATCTTGTCTAATTTTTTTGAAATTAAAAAATAATTCCTGAACTGCAGCAGCCATCGCACGAAACGTGTTATGTACTTTACATCATCTCTCCATGCTCCAGGCGTGGAGGAAGGAATCTCGGGGAAGCTCACACTGAGGCCTCTGAGTTAAAATATCACTTTGTGTTCCTTCTCGGCAGCTCCCCTCGCCACAGTCCTGAGCAATCGATTCGGACACCGTCTGGTGGTGATGCTGGGTGGTGTGTTTGTCAGCACCGGCATGGTGGCCGCCTCCTTTGCACGTGAGGTTTGCCACATGTACGTGACCATTGGCCTCATCTCTGGTAAGGGCTGCTCCGTGGCTCTGACGTTCTCTAGATATTTAGTGTGAAGAATAAGGAAGGAGGAGGAAATTAAATGCAAATTGTATTTCTCTCTCTTTCTTTTTGCTTTAAAATTAACAGTGTCTCAGGTCAGTAGTTTTGAACTGGGCTGTATGGACTCCGGAGATCTGTGAACCTATTTTCAAGTGCCCAAGAGTTTTTATTTCATCTTTTTAAAAAAAAAAAAATTACCAATGATGAAGATAACTTCTCTTTTGGTATAGTTTGCAGCTAAAGGACATCATTTTTACAAACTAAGACTTGAATTTCTTTAGCCAGTATTTCTCAAATTAGGGTCTTGAGAATTCAGGGCTATAAGTAGGGGAAGTGCAACGTGCTGGACTTATTCTTGGGGGTCTAAGAAAACTTTTTTTCCATTT